ACCAAATACTGTCTAGACCATCCCTGACAGACATTTATCTAACCTACTCTTAAATATCTCCAGAGATGGGGGGGATTCCACAACCTCCCTGGGCAATTTATTCCAGTGTTTGACCACCCTGACAGTTAGGAACTTTTTCCTAATATCCAACCTAAACCTCCCTTGCTGCAGTTTAAGCCCATCGCTTCTTGTTCTATCCTCAGAGGCCAAGATGAACAAGTTTTCTCCCTCTTCCTGCTTCCTACCTCAAGGTTGGATATTAGGGAAAAAAATAGTTTTTCCTAATATCCAACGTAGACCTCTCCCACTGCAACTTGAGACCACTGCTCCTCATTCTGTCATCTGCCACCACTAAGAACAGCCTCTCTCCTTCCTCTTTGGAACCCTTGTTCAGGTAGTTGAAGGCTGCTCTCAAATCCCCCCTCACTCTTCTCTTCTGTAGACTAAACAAGCCCAAATCCCTCAGCCTCTCCTCATAAGTCATGTGCTTCAGCCCCCTAATCATTTTGGTTGCCCTCCTCTGGACCCTCTCCAATGCGTCCACATCCTTTCTAAAATGGAAGGAGGAGGGGCACAGAATTGGACACACTACTCCAGATGTGACCTAACTAGTGCCGAATAAAGGGGAATAATCACTTCTCTAGATCTGCTGGCAATGTTCCTCGTAATGCTCCCTATTATGCCATTAGTCTTCTTTGCTACAAGGGCGCACTGTTGACTCATAAGAATAGGGATAGGAAGTCTATTACAGATGCATAGTCATCTTTACCAACCAAACTTATCCTCTCATGAAAGAATGAAAGGCTGCTAAGACCTGTTTTCTAGCACAGTGGTCTCCAGCCTTTTTACACCCAAGATCACTTTTTAAATATCAGGGAAAGACAAGATCTACCCCCATCCCTTCCCCAAGACCCTACCTTCTCCATTCCTCTTCTGTCCATCACGTGCTGTCCCCTCGCCCTTACTCACTCTCATGGGTGAGAAATGCAAGCTCTGGGGGGGGGGGAGCTGGGTACAGGAAGAGGTGGAGAAGGGGATGCTGGCTTACAAAGGGGGCTCCAGGCTGGAGAGTGTTGGGGTCAGGTGGAGGGTTGGGGTGCTGAACACACCGCAGGCTTGTGGATGTGGGGTGCAGGAGTTTGGGATGGGGGTTTGAGGGGCTCAGGACACAGATTTGCCATGTGTGGATGGTATAGGAGTGTTATGGCAGAAGACTGGGGATGTGGAGGTGCAGGAGTTTGGGGATGTGAGGGGCTCAGAACAGGGGATTCAGGTGTATGATGTACTCAGGGTTGGGGTCTGTGGCAATGCAGGGGTGTTACGATGCTGCAGTCAGATGGGGGCTTGGCCCCAATTGGGGGCTAGTTGGCCAGGATTCATTTTTAAATAGAATATTATGTCCAACACAAAACATTTCAGAATTGTCTTTATTTATGGGAGGGGCAGAGAACTTGTTTTGAGTCAGGGTCACTGATGCACAGAAAAATCAGTTGGGGACCACACAAGTGAGATACAAAAAACAAATCCTCCCAACCCTTATTGATGTATCCCCAACGGAGACACCCCACTCCCCTGCCACTCCAGCCCCATGGCGGGAGGGGGAAGATAGGTAGGTTCAAGGCCTGAGGCCAGATTAACTCTTCTGCGGTTCCAGGGTTAGTGGATTTTGTGGGCCCCTCTACACTCTGAGATGGGGCCAAAAATGAGAGATCCAGTGTGTGAGAGAGGGCTGCCAATGAGTGGGATGGAGCTGCAGAATCTAGGTGGAAAATAGGGTACAGGAGCAAGTTGGGGGTAGGTGTTTGTCCAGGAGGGAGGGGGCAGGAGCAGGGTGCTGGTAGAGGTCTGGCCAGGAGGCAGGGGCAGGGTTCTGGTGGGTGTCTGGCCAAGGGACAGGGTGCTGAATGGTGTCTGGCCAGGGGGTAGGAGCAAAGTGCTGGTTGGTGTCTGGCCATGAGACAGGGGTAGGGCACTGGATGGTGTCTGGGCTGGGTGCTGGATAGGGTTTGGCCAGGAGGCAGGAGCAGGGTGCTGGTGGGGGTCTGGCCAGGCAGCAGTATGCTGTTGGGAGCTGGGGCAGGGTGCTGGTGGGGGTCTGGGCAGAGTGCAGGAGCAGGGTGCTGTCTGGGGTTTGGGCAGGTGTCAGGTGGGGGCCTGGGCAGGGGGCTGGTTGCTAATAGAGGGCCTGGGCAGGGGGCAGGTTGCTGATAGGGGCCTGGACAGGGGGAGGGAACAGGCACAGCTGCTGCGCGCCAGGACCGGCATTTCAGGAAGCACATGTGCTGCTCCTCCCCTCCTCAAACAGCCAGCGTGCTTTCTGAGAAGTTGGAGCTGGTGTGCAATCCCAGGACTCCTACTCCCTCCCCTCCCCTCAGGAAGGAAGACAGGAAGCACAGCAAGGGAAGTCCCTGGCTACACACCAGACCTGGCTTTTCAGGAAGCGTGCTGGCTGTTTGGGGAGGGGAGTAGCAGTCCATGTGCTTCCTGAGACACTGGACCTGGAGCACAGCTATGGGACTTCCCTCCCCATGCCACAGGAAGCCGGCACTACCTCCATTTTCCCAGGAGGCAGCGGCAGCAAGGACTACTTCTTGGAGGAGGGAAAATGGGGGAGGGGGGCCTGGAATGCCTCGCAATTGTCTGATCCTACCTCCACAATCAGCCAATTGATTGCAATCAATGGATTGGTGACCACATTTCTAGCAGAAAATGCTCACTGGCACTAAGTATATTCCTGTCCTTTTATTCTTTATTAACTGAATCCTGTATCAGCTATTGGGTTACTTTGCCTAGGACTGATCTCAGGCTAACCAGCATTTAGTTATCCAGGTCAACTCACTTGCCATTTTTGAATATTGGAATCACATTGATGCACTTTGAGTCTTTGGAGATTTCCTCATGTATTTCAGGGGAGGGTGACCAAAATGATGAGGGGTCTGGAGCACTTGACCTATGAGGAGAGGCTGAGGGATTTGGGTTTGTTTAGTCTGCAGAAGAGAAGAGTGAGGGGGGATTTTATAGCAGCCTTCAACTTCCTGAAGGGAGGTTCCAAAGAGGATGGAGGGAGGCTGTTCTCAGTAGTAACGGATGGCAGAACAAGGAGCAAGTTACAGTGGGGGAGGTCTAGGTTAGATATTAGGGTTAGGGTTAGGGAGGTTCCCTAGGAGGATGGTGAAATACTGGAATGGATTACCTCGGGAGGGGGTGGAATCTCCATCCCTAGAGGTTTTTAAATCTCGGCTTGACACAGCCCTGGCTGGGTTGATTTAGTTGGTATTGGTCCTGCCTAGGCCAGGGGGCTGGACTTGATGACCTCTTGCGGTGTCTTCCAGCTCTATGATTCAGGAATTATTAAAATTTAACATCAGTAGGTCAGAGCTATCTTCAGTCAGCTCTTTATGGGCTCTTGGGTGCAGGACCATTGATTTATTTTTTCCCTAGCAGATGTTGTATAACATCCCCCTTCATTACTAATGGACCAGAAATTTTTAAATCATCCTCATGTGATACAAGTGCATCATCCTGCTTCTTTCCTAATACAGAATAGAAACATTTATTGGAGGTTTATGTTTTTTCCATATTAGCAATTTTACCATCTACCTTTTGTAATAGACCTATATCATCACTAGAATTTCTTTTGTTCCCAATATACTTTTAAACAACCTAAACCTCTCTTCACTGTCCTTAGCCCTGCCAGCTATTTCCCCCTGCTGTCCTCAGCTTCCCTTATCAATTTTCTACACTTCATAAATGTTAATGTATTTGACTGATGTTTATTTCCCCTTTTCCCCCCATTTGTTGTATGTTGCTTGCTTCCTTTAATTATTTGCTGCTTTCAATTCACCATTGGCCCAGGATAGGCCTTTAGCCAAAATTATACTCTTTCCTCTTGTGGAATCCTGGTGTTTTGAACTTCTAATAAATTCTTCTTAAAGAATATTCATCTTTCATTCACATTCTTCCATCTCTATTTTCCCACCCACTCATTTTCCTCCACTTTGGGAAATTAGCCTTTTAAAAGCACCAAGGGTTTGTACTGCACTGCCAGGTATCTGGTTTTGGACTGGAAGCCCTGGTTTAAAGGTGGCTCCAGCTGGCATTGCTGACTAGACCATTAAAAGTCAGATCTGTGGTGCAGCAGAGCTCAGACAGGCTCCCTGCCTGTCCTGGCTCCGCATGGCTCCTGGAAGTGGCCAGCATATCCCAGTGGCCCTAATCTGGGGCAATTAAGGGACTATGTGCATTGACCCTGCCCCCAGCAAGCTGTGGGGGTGGTGCCTGTGGGCATGCACAGACAGCAGAGCTTTGTAGTTGCTCATGTGCCTAGGAGCTGAACATGCCAGCCTCTTCCAGGAACAAAGCCTGCCTTAACCCACTGTGAGCTGTCTGAGAGCCACTCCCATATGCCAACCCCCTACCCAGTCCTGGGCTTCCTCCCACCCCATATCTCTTCTGGAGCCCACACCCCAACCACCTGCCCCAGCTCTGAGTTCCCTCCTGCACTTCACACATCTCATCCCTAGCCCCACCCCTGAACTCACATCACCAGCTGGAGCCTTTACCCTGTCCGGCACCCCAACCTCCTGCCCCCACCCAGTGAAAGTGAGTAGGGTGATGACGAGCAAGTGACAGAGGGAAGGGGATGGAGTGAGTAAGGGCAGGACCTCAGTGCAGAGGATAGGGCAAGGGAGTTGGTCCTGTGCAATGAGAAAGTTGCCAACCCTGACTGGTGTGTGGAACTGTTCTCTGTCCATGTCAAGGAATCACATTATGAGTGCTAGGTGGGCTCTGGGTACGCTGCCTTGAAGCTCAACCATCTTTCTCCCAGAGCTGAGTCTGGGCTGAGGCTGTGGGATTAAATGGTAGTGCAGCATGTTCTTTTTGTGCGTCTGTCCTGATGCAAGAACAGAATTAAGTTGTGGCTGATTTTGTCTGTATGTCTGTCCTCTCTGCTGGAGAGGAACAGCGATGGCACCTGACGCTGTTTTTTGATTTCCTAGAGTGCGCTGGGTCACGAGTACGTGGCTGATGTTGAGAAGCATTCGTCTCAGACAGATGCAGCTAAAGGCTTTGGGGGGAAGTATGGCGTCCAGAGGGACCGAGCTGACAAGGTAGGTTGGCTGCAGAGGGACAGGAATCCCATTGTCCCACAGGACTGGCTGCCATGCAGGAGCAGGTAAAATGTACTTTGTTGTAGGTGGGATTGGGTGGCTAAGAAAATCAACCTGTAGTAATTTGCAGGAAAACACTAAATCTCTTGTCAGTTTGTTATGCAGAGAATTTCAACAATGAAGTTAAAACAAAGTTTGTTTAAATAGGTAAACTCAACTGAGGGACAGAAAGATTTGATATCTATTATATAGGAGTTAAAGAATTTTACATGCTTTAAGCAAGATTGGTTTTCTTCTTATAGTGGTGAAAATTGTCTGAATTCTATGTGGGGAGGTGAACGTATAGGAGCAGGATAAAAATTCAAAAAATAACATGGGAGCGAGTGGCAGTGGGCATTGTGGGGGGAGCGGGATTAAAGAACAGTCCTGCACAGAGCTCTGAGGACATATAGCCATGTGTCTGTTTTTGCTGTGGTGGTCAGTTTAAGGCCTCAGGCTTTGTTTTCAAGATGCACAATGGTCTGGGCCCAGGATTGCTGTATGTTTTGGGTCCTCGAAACCATCATTGACCACTCACTCCTCTGGTGTGTTGCAATTGCCTTCTCCTCTGAGGGGAGCAAGGAATCAGGCCCTGCCTGAGTACACCGCCTTTCTAGGAAGCCCTGCTAAGGTATCGGTGTCCAACTGACACCTTTCAATAAATCTGGTGTTTTCTGAACTGATGCTTTTATGGCTACATGCAATTGTTTTCAATTATGCAAACTGGCCAATTCATTTGCCCGAACTGTCACCCATGCCCCTGGCATGTGTCATGCTGCCCCCTGCTGGCTGTAGCTTGTGTTTCCTTTGTGGGCATCTCTGCACCTGCTGCTTCCCTGACCAGCAAGTGGTGGACAAGGGTGAGCTAGACTCCCCTAGTTGTGCCTCAGTCAACAATAATGCCCCTGCCATGGCTTCTGCTGGTGTCCTGCCACTGAGCAGGGCTGTACAGGAGGAGAACCAACAGGCACAAATGCAACCGCCCAGCAGGGAAAGCGGAGGGCAAAGAGGCCAGTCCCTGGCTCTGCTAAGCACCTCATCCCAATGAAACAGCTGATGCTCTTCTCCTTCTTCCTCCAGTCGGCACTTGGGTTTGAGTACAAAGGTGAGGTGGAAAAGCACTCATCCCAGAAAGGCAAGTTCAGTGGCAGAGCCTTCGCTTTCCATGACGTTCCCTCAAACCATCTGCTATTGCTCCCCTTGTCACATCGCTGCTGACCCCATCTGCCCTCCCCCTTCCTTCCCCAAACTTCCCCTCCCCCTCTTCCCCATTCTCCCTCTCCACTTCCCCGCTCACCCCATCTGCTCTGCCGTAGCACCGCTTGCACCGTTCCCTTCCTCAATCTTCCCCTCCCCCTCTTCCCCATTCTCCCTCTCCACTTCCCCGCTCACCCCATCCACTCTGCCATAGCACCCCCTTGCACCGCTCCCTCCCCCTCTTCCCCATTCTCCCTCTCCACTTCCCCGCTCACCCCATCCGCTCTGCCATAGCACCCCCTTGCACCATTCCCTTCCTCAATCTTCCCCTCCCCTCTTCCCCATTCTCCCTCTCCACTTCCCCGCTCACCCCATCCACTCTGCCATAGCACCCCCTTGCACCGCTCCCTCCCCCTCTTCCCCCTTCTCCCTCTCCACTTCCCCGC